TTCAAACGCACACGAAAAGCCTAACAATCTGGCAGCAGATCTCATGAGCTTTGTTAAGGTAAAAGGCATCGCAGAAAATCCCGTAAGTTATGTGTCAGACCCCAGAATATAAAACCTAGTAGAATAGACACCATATAATTTTCCTTCTGATCACAATGATTTAGTTCCAAGAGATGGAAATCCCATCTCTGTGAAATCAGGCAACTCTTAATGATCAAATTGATATCTCTAACAAGTGCTAGCTTTTGCTCTAGCTAAATAAGGTGTTTTGGGTAAATGTTGTCACCTGAAGGAAGGTAAACACTATATAGTTAACTCCTGAGTAGTCAAAACACTAACATTGATTGAGTTCATACTGTATCATAGGCACCTTGTTAAGCATGGGTATATAGGCTACAGTGGGAAGGATTCTAGTTTAGCATCACTCAGCCATCGCTATAGTTCTTGATTTAGACAAACCACTGTGAAAAGCTCTTCTTACAGACTAATCTTTCCTAAAACAGACATTTGAGGTCACGGCCTAACTTACAGATGATGAAAAGCTGTTTCAAACAGTTAGAAAAGGGCACAGTGAGGGCGTGTGGAAAGGGGAGAAGACTAGATTGTCGAGGTGACATTCTGTGCTCTAAACTGCAATTATCGCTTCCCACACAGAGAACCTACTCAGATTGGGATTGCCAGCAAACAGTAGTCTTGCAAACCCAAAATGTTAACAAAGAAGTTTACAGAGCACACCCTGAGTGAAAACAGCATATTCACATGCAGTATCTTTTATGACCTATACAACCACACTATAAGATCATTCCTTTTCTGAAAAAGTAGGAAATGGAAGTCTGAAATGGAGCTACTTTACACTGCTCTCAGACCCATGTGTACAAAATGGTTTTCTTGTAAAGAAATTTATATTCTACTCAGAGTCTTATTGTAAAGTGAACTCTGTAATTCAATTAAATACTCATCTTAAAAACAGGAACATAAGTGGAAATTCCTCACTGACATTCATGCAAATCAACAAAATAACAATGTTAAACCTACATCTAATCTCTTGCTGTATACATCTCATGTCGGCTACAGCCACTGCTAAATTATACATTTACAATGACAAAACCATGAAATTGATTTGTTTCTATTAGTACCAGCAAAATACTAAATAGGGAGAGTGCGAAAGGGTGAGTTTATTTTATTTCCGTAGTACTTCCTTCTGCTGCCATCATGCAGCAGCATTCCTTTCTATAATTTGGAGTGTTCCACGATCTTAATTTTCTAACTTCCAACCACCCTGCTTGAAAAACAACAAAATAAAATGGATCACTTATACTTAAAAAAAATTCACTTGTATCATTATTAAATTTTGTTTTTATGTATACGATCACCTAGAATACCTGGTTTTCTGCTAAGTTCTCTCATAGAACATTAGCTCTGCATTATTCCTCATAATGTTTGCAAAATACTAGGCAAAACACATTAAATATGGTATTTTTATAGTTTTTCTCAGAGCTTTACTATCCACAGCAAATGATGAAATTCAAAGCAAACTTAAAGTACACAATTTCCCCTAAATTTATATAGTTTGCTTAGAAAACTGTGTTTGGGCTGAGAAGAGAGGACATACATTAGCTTCAGTTTGGGAACTTCTCTGCTAAAGCAAGTTTGAGGAGAAAGTGGTGGAGAACCACAAAAGGCAGTGTTTCCCTTGGCCTTAGTACCTTAAATGAGGGTAAATCATGAATCCAGTTCAGTCCTCTAAGTGGTAGGAATTGAAAGAATGGGTGATTTATGGTTAAAGAAGAAACACGCTGCCTGCTCAGTCTTATGTCTCTGCTCTGTATCCTAGAACCTGAAGACACGAGCACTGTCTTATCCATACCAGGGATACAATACAGATCCAGCTTCAAGACTGTATCAAGCAAAAACCTTGGCTCCCTGTCTAATAATGACAAATAAAAATATTGGAGACAGAGTTTGGAGGAAACATAAAAAGAGTAGCTTTATCATTTTTCCAAGCAAAAAGGAAACACAGCAGGCTAGTTCCTCAAGAACTGGGACTCCCTTTCTGGGGAATAGGGGGAGGTTTCATATACTCCTGAAGGTCTTGGCATTTTTTTTTCTCTTGCAGAGTTTCAGAACGGCCACAGCTGGCATCAGACAACTTCTCCGCGTCTTGTGTCTCTGAAGTTGCCAGCCCATGACCTTCTTTTGGAAATGTAGAATGTTACAAGAGAGTGTAGGGACAGAAAGTATGCCAGGTGTAGAGTATAATCTATATGGAGTCAGAGAGTAATTAGCTTTGTGAAGGACAAGTCCAAATACAAATGTTTGTTAGTAGTGACAGCTGGAGAATAACCAAGAGTGTTTAACTCTTGTAGGCCTGTTTGGATGGTATGTGCCGAAGGCTGTTCATTCATTTCTGGTTTTGCTGCAACGCAGCCCTGAGAGTGGTAGGGCTGGGAGGCCTGAGGAACAGAAAACATATATGCCTCACATGGAAAGGCTGCAGAAGGAAGTTCAGACATGGGAGACATGCTTATCACCTTTCCCCTCTACCTAGAAGTTACATGGCACATGCTTTCCTCTTAACATGCTTCCTTTATGCTGACTACATAGAGAGGGTGTGAAGTATGTGGGGGAGACAACTGTATCACAAAGTCCTTGAGATTAACAAGTCCATGTCAGCAATACCAGAAACCATACTAGAGAAACAGCAATGGAGAAACAAAAATAATAAAAGATACACTTTGCTGAATAAAATATACTACAGTCTTTGGCAACACTGCTTGATACAGTCCTGAAGTTAGATCTGTACTGTATCATCTTTGGTTAATTACATATTTGTTTAATGACAGGAATATAAATCAGACTCAAGGTGATTTGCTAACTTTTACAAGGCATTTCATTGCAAAAATAATGACTACATGCCTTGCTTATACTGTTTCGTAATCTGTTCTTGAACTGAAAATTTAAAAAAAACTAACAAATAGAATCAGAATCTGAGTCATTTTTGTTTGTTCTTGTTTTTTATTTTTTAATCTTGTTTGGACGTGAGAGCTTTTAGACTCTATGACTGTTTCAAGGACTCCTGTATAGTGTTTGCATATTAAGTTATCTTAAATGGTAGAAAGCTTTCTGCATTTCTAGGCTTAGAATCTTTCAAAGAAGTAATTGACATTACACTTAGAGTAAAAAAAAATGTTCTGCAGAAGAATAGATGGAGCACAGAAGATTTTTAGGGCAGTGAAAAAATTACTTGTTATGAAACGATAATGGTGAGTACATCTGCATACATTTCTCAAATCTATAGAAAGTGGAAACACAAACAGTGATCCCTAATGTAAACTATGGACTTTAGTTCCTAATAATGTATCAATATGGGTCACTTATAATAAAAATCTCATACTAATGCAACAATAGCACATTAAAAATAGGAGAAATTGGGGTGGGAGTACAGGTTAAATGGGAACTCTGTACTTTTCATTCAATGTTTATCTGTCAACCTAAAACTGCTTACAAAATAGTCTATGAAACAAGTAGAGCAAATTTTTCCACCTAGTCATACAAAATCTGAGACTTGGCTTTTGCTTTTGATATGTGGTCTTTTAGATATAAAAATATTATCTTTGTATAAGAATTATACATTTATTAGTCTAATCTTCATGGTGCATTATTCCAAAATAAACATTAATCATTTTGAAAACAACAATAAAGGCTATAAATACTATATGGAAAGAAATATCTTTATAGGTGTTGACTAGACATTAACCTTTCAAATTCCCAGGTGGTGCTAGTGGTAAAGAATCCAGTTACCAATGGAGGTTCAATCCCTGGGTCAGAAAGATCCCCTGGAGAAGGGCATGGCAACCCACTCCAGTATTCTTGCCTGGAGAATCCCAAGGACAGAGGAATTTGATGGGTTATGGTCCATGGGGTCACAGAGAGTTGGTCATGACTGAAGCGACTTAGCACACAGACATTAATCTTCACTGTAAGGTTTAGATTTGAACGTGTTTGTAGGCTGCTAAAATCTGCTTCCATAACATAATTCACTCATGTGAATGAGTGAATGTCCAACTCAATCAGTTGCTCAGTCATGTCCAACTCTTTGCAACCCATGGACTATAGTCTGTCAAGCCCCTCTGTCCATGGATTTTTCCAGGCAAGAATACTCCTGTGGGTTGCCATTTCCTCCTCAGGGGATCTTTCCAACCCAGGGATTGAACCTATATCCCCCGTGTCTCTTGCACTGGAGGTGTATTTTTCACCACTGAGCCACTGGGAAGCCCACATAACTCATTTGCTAAGCAGCATAATGGGAAAAGGGATATTCAAATTAGATGCTATGGTATATTCAAAATAGAAGAATTTGTTTAATTAGTTGAGTATAAGTAGGACTACATCTCAGAGGAATAGTATGATTTCAGGACTCATGGAGAGGTTATCTTCAAGTGAGGGTGGTATGGAACTTACCATACAATGTGATGATTCTGTTATGAGATAAGCACATCATCTTAGCACTACAGGGCAGATCTGAGCAGGGAGAACTATACTCCATGAGAGGAACCATGGAAACTGCAGATGGAAGGACATATTTGAGCTGCACTAAATTTATGCATTTGCATGGGGCTACGGCGAAACTTCCTGTATGTGCAAAAATAACGAAGGTGTAAAAAATATAAAGTGTCAGGAAGTATTTCAGTATCAATAGAGCCATGATTGGCATTCTCTTCACTAAGAGAGTTTAGAAAAATAATTCTGGCCATGCTATACACTTATTATATCACAATCTCCAGGGGTTAGATTTACAAATCTAAGTTTCAAAAAAAATGGCAACCTGAAAGCTCCTTATTTTGACCATATATGTATCTTAATACAGTGAGAAGACTGACAAAATTTCCCTAAACATAATAACTAGGTCCTCATCCCATTTGCTCTTAACTATGCTATATGGGTTTTGTACCAAACCTCCTCTTGCTGAGGCTACTTGGGGTCTTTACTAATACCAGTGGGCAATTTTAATTCCTCATCCATATTGACTTCCTTCCATTCTGTCTTCACATGCAGTCAGAGTGACCATCTCCCATCAGATATGATTAGAGTTCCTCCCCTTCAGAGTGTTTTAATGACTTCCTCTTTCTCTAAAGATCACTCTAAAAAGCTTGAAGTATTTTGTTACTCCCCTCCTTCAGTCTCCAGCCAGATCTGATGTCATCCTCCCATGCGTTTTCTTTGTTCAAAGTATATTAGTCTCCCTCTTCTTCAAATGCTCACTTTCTGCCTAGGCTCCTGGGAAGATAGAAAGAATAGTCTGATGGTGACATCTTTTCACTCCCCAAATTTCAGTAATCATATTGATAATTAAACCATTGTTTTAAAGTTTTAATGTCTATTACTGCTAGGCTTTAGTTCTCTACCCTGTACACTATACTACAGTGGACATAATTTTAATTTCCATGGTTATGCTGCCATCGTCTTTATCAGTTCTCACCTCTAATAGTTTCATCTAAACCAAGGGTCAGCAAAATTTTTGGTGAAGAGACAGAGAGTAAATATTGTGAACTTCATGGGCCAGGGCAAATTTGGGCAACTGTTCTTGTCAAGAGACAGATAAAGGCTTTGAACATTTTACATTTTACACTTAAAATGTAAAAAATATACTTTTAGCTCATGGATCACATAAAATCAGGCAGTAGAACATATCTAACATCATGGGCTATAGCTCACCAATGCCTGACCTAGACACAGTATTTAAATATGATATATAGCCTATGATTTTCAAACCTACAGCTCTAGCCAAGCCAGCTTCTTGATGCCTACTTCATATTTCCACTTGAATTCTAATAGGAATCCCAACAGGAAAAAATCAGTTAAATCAATCAACTCAGGTACTTACCTATATCTCTGCCACTTGAGATCTATCGCATGTCATCAAACTACCCCAATCCAATAAAATATGATAACCTCATGTCCCTAAATCCAAAATCCAATGCTTGATCAATAAATCCTATCAGCTCTACCTTCAAAACAATTTCCAGTGTCAATAAACTTTGTCCAACTTTATTGCTACAATCATAATCCCAACCACAATCTTTCACCTGGACTGGTATAATAGTAAGCTAAAGGACCCCTCTTCAACCACTGTTTTATCTCTCCCCAATAATACACCCTCCATACTGTAGCTATAAGGAACTGGGCAAGAATAAATCTAACCACATCACATCTATATATTAAACCTTTCAATAGATTTGTTTGGCATCAGAACATTGCCTGCAAAATCCTAATTTTTCTGGTCTTTTGGGAAGTCCTATCTTCACATCTCTCCTGTACCCTTTCTTTATTCCAGACAAACTAGCCTTCTCAAGAAAATATCAAGCTACTTTTTTATTTCAGAATCTTTTTGTATGTTATTATTTTTGCTTAGAACACCCTCTACCTTTGAAGGACCTGCTTCACTCTCTTCATTCCAATCTAAACTGAAAAACCATGTCTTCAGAGAGAGAACTTCTTGACCTCTCTATAGCTATAGTGAATGAAGACTTTACTACTAGGAAGATTGGGTGTGATAATGTTGCTTTTTTTCCTCCCTCTTTGTACTTGTCTCCTTATCTCTCCTCTGGCTTTCTATTCAATTATAAAATGCATATTATTTCAAGTCCTTAGAATTTCTTCTTTCTCAATTGAGAGATTAATTTCCTCAAAAACCTTTATTTGAGAGGTAAAGAAGCATAAAGTAAGACAAAATAGAGTAAATGTTTGCTTGCTATAAGGAGTCACCTTTTTATGGAAGGATAATTCCACCAGGAAACAAACAAAAATACTGCTGGTTATTCCGAGTTCCCAGGTTTGAAGCCAGTAAATTTCCCCATTTTCAAGCACCCTTGACCATGGAGATGAAAGGTGTATATTTAGGTCTATTAACTCATTATGACTGTCTACAACTTAATATGGTATTGATGGATGTGATAGTAATTCAAAAGAAGTTTTATCAACATTTTCCAACAGAACAAATGCCGTCTCTAATTAGCAAATTCAATTAAATAATCTGATGAAGAATTTGTTATACATTATGTTAAATTTGCACTGGCTTACCATTCTAGAAAGCTGTCAAATTAATTTAAAAAGAGATATTCAGTAATAGAAATCATTTAAAATAAAATTTAGCATTACATTGATATACTAGTTTGTAGTTGACTGCAAGAGCAATAAAGAGATGTCATTGACTCCTAAGTAGTGACCATTGTGTAATTTGAAAACTCTGAGTGAATTACCAAAAGAGATCTCAACGTCCTTTTATAGCTTCCACTTCACTCCAAACAAAAATCAAGCTCATTACCACTGCAAGTAAGACTCTCACTAGCGTCCATCGCTTCCTCAGATCAATTCAGTCACTCAGCCATGTCCAACTCTTTGCAACCCTATGGACTGCAGCGCCCCAGGCTTCCCTTATGCCGTTTGTTACCCCTTCTCCTATTCCTCAGCACATGCATTTTGCTTCAGCCACATATTTTTGTTGCTGCTGTTGTTCTTACATGCATGCTATTCTCACAGGCATGATCCCTGTGTCCTTGCAAGGAATGTTCTTGCTCCAAATCTGGGTGCTCAGGCTCTCTCTGCCTTGCACTTTCAACCGCTATATTCTCTGTAAGGTAATTTCTAAATATCCAATAAAAACAGCCCCTCAGAATTATCTGGTCTCCATCACAGTGATATTTTTCACCATCTAACTACCCATACTTCACATATTTACATGGCTCACTGTCTGTCATCTGTCTCCCTACATTAGAATTCAAGTTTCATGATGACAGGGCTTTTTTCAGTTTTCTAAACTGTTCAAAGTAAATATAAAGCTTTGTTGAGTAGATGAATGTGCACTCTGAGACATCAAGGAACTTATACAAAAATAAGGAAAAGATGCAAATTAACAAGTATAGCGTACATTGAGAAATACTGATCTGCTTGTATATGCGGAGCTTGGTAAATTGCAGGAAGCTATGTCAAAATAATAATGTAGAATCTGGGAAGAGGCAGAGGAGGTGACATCTGAGTTAAGGGATACAAGGAAGAAAGACATAAGGAAAAAAGAAAGAAAGTGAAATCTTACAAATGGGCATTAGAAACTACCACAGGAAAAAATAAGTAAAAGAAAAGGTCATCATATAGAAAAGCATAAGATACACTGCATCCCAATTATGTTATATACAATTACTATAAAAACCAAACACAGTTTATACTTTGATAAAACTAAGTTGATAAACAGACCACACTGTGACATGATCAGATATAAATCTGCATTTCTAAATTTTCAGAAAAATTAGACACATGATGTGATTGGCACATGTGCCAAGACACATGATGATTTAGGGAGGCAAACTCGCTAATGGATGAGGCACATAACCCACAAAATAATACCTAGCTTGTGATCACTGTGTACAGCCTTCATCATGGAAAGGTGCCAGATTAATTTTAAGTCTCTAGAAATCTAAGTTGGCAACTTTGAAGTTCATGTGTAATTCATGAGTTTTTTAAAGGACACCTCATAAGTAACAGCGAAGTGAATCTTTACACTGAGGTAGGTATGATATTATAGGTTGAAGAGGTAGAAAAAAACAACAAAAAAATTAGAATTGGCAGTACTTTCTGCCAAAGACTGAGATACCCAGTCTCACATACAAGGCTATTTTGAATCTCTTGACTTCAATATCTAGGTTCTTTAGTTTGTTTATCCTTAATCAGTACATAAAGAATTTAAGTTGCTTTTAAAGCAGTCTTAACACTTCAGACCATGAGTTGGCTATGAAGCTGACTACAAAATAAAGTGGACGAAGGTAAGTGCCTGCTTGGAGAAAGCCACTTTCCTCTGTCTTCTTCCAATTTAATTCCATTTTTTTGTGGAAAAAGTTCTACTAAAAACTTCATATGCAAATTAGCTTAAGAATTTACATCATATTTTACTATTAATAGCATATGTTAGAATTACATATTTCTAGCTTACATATTTCTCACACCTGCTCCTATCACTTCTCCCTTTTTTCCTGTTTATACCACTTACTTCTACTCCTCTATCTCTTTAGCTATTTATGGTCTCTTTATTCCCAGTCTAAATTCTTTTTTCTCTTCATGGATGTGTCTGGAGAGAGCTAAAGCTAACATATCACATAGAAGATAATGTCTTGTAAATGTATCTATTCTTCAAGTCAAATTCCATAACAAATTTCAAATGCAACGAAAAGTCAAATGAAATTTAAACTCTAATCCAGGTGCCCACTGCCTTTAAATGTGTAAAACAGAACATTAAATTTCCCCAATAAAAAATGCTAAAGGCTCATGGAAAAAATGTTTAAAATAATTTCTCCCTAAATAAATTTATTGTTTTAGAGTTGAAGGGAACTGTCATAAAATGAGATTTACCTTAAATAATAAAACAAAAATTAAAATATACTTTATTATGTTGCACAGTAAAATACTTTTTAAAACACTGTGAACAAATGCCATCTGAAAGTTGGGTAATGTTTTATAATTTCAGTAAAAAGAAGGCCATCAATTACCATGTTCTTCCCCCATAAAAATGGAATGTTTTATATCTAGCTTTTTGCCCTCATGGCAATGACATTTATGATCAAAAGAAGGTAGGAACACTGAAAAAAAATTTAGTGGTAGGATTATTGGTAGGATTTTAAATGGTGTTGAGGTGGTCATTTACAGAGTTTTTAAGATTTGGATATATGCATTTATATTTTAAGAAGTTTAAAACAAAACTAAAGTGGATATACGTAAGTCTGCATTCATTCATTCATTAGGAGTCACTCAGTTGTGTCTGACTCTTTGCAACCCCATGGACTATATAGTTCATGGAATTCTCCAGCAAGAATACTGAAGTGGGTAGCCTTTCCCTTCTCCAGGGGATCTTCCCAACCCAGGGACTGAACCCAGGTCTCCTGTATTGCAGACGGATTCTTTACCAGTTTAGCCAGAAGGGAAGCCCTAAGTCTGTATTGAACTAAATTAAATTCTGACATATATATTTTTATATGTATACACACACACACCCCTTAACTAGAACAATGGAAAATTGTTTACATTCGATAAAAAATAAGACTTCAGTTTCACCACTACTTAGCTCAAACTAACTGTGGTGCTACAAAAGACTCTTGTGAGTCCCTTGGACAGCAAGGAGAGCAAACCAGCCAATCCGAAAGGAAATCAACCCTAGCTATTCATTGGAAGGACTGATGCTAAAGCTCCAAAACTTTGGCCACATGAACCTAAGAGCTGAATCACTGGAAAAAATTCTGAGGGTGGGAAAGACTGAGGCCAGGAAAAGAGGGTGAAAGAGGATGAGGTGGTTGGATGGCATCACTGACTCTGTGGCCATGAGTTTAAGCAAGTTCTGGGAGATAGTGAAGGACAGGGAAACCTGGGGTACTGAAGTCCATCAGGTCACAAGGAGTAGGACACAACTGAATGACTGAACAATTTAAGGTCAGACTTCCTGAGATACACAAATAAACATCTTGTAATGTTCACTGCCATGTGTCTGAGCTTACCTCTCTTAAACAACATTCAGTTATAAGATAAAAACATTTTACCCACATAGCCCTGAGGAACATAAACCTTCGGTGGCATTAAGCTCCTTAAGGGAATTATTCACCACCAGTAGAGATTCTAAGATAGTATTAAAGCTCATGGATCACATTCTCTGAGATATTCTAATGAAAAGATATACTTATAAACCTCAACTCAGAGTTGGATATTACCTTCATTTACTGATAAAATTACATAATTACTGAAATTTATTGAATGAAAGAGAAATGAGAGAAACCAACTAAACTTTGCACACACTGGGAAAAGATTTCAAGGGAAAAAGATACAAATATAGAGAGATTCTTTAGCTCTCTATCCATTCCTCCTCGCAAAGTTTACTCCAATCATTCTAGAGAAAAATATGAATGTGTGATGAATGTAAAATACAAATGATTAGCTTTGTGTAAATATGGTGATTCAAAAATAATATACTTTAACAACTTGTAAAATAGGACAGCCAAATAATTTTATTTTTTCAAAATTATGCCTCTTAACTGAAATACTTCATGGTGAAGATCATGAAACTAAACATTATAAGTGTTAAATATTTTCAGGTTTTATTTTTCAAGTGCTCAGTATATGATACAAAATCTGGTCATGAAAATCGAAGATAAAATAAATTGATTTGTCCTCAAAAGTAATTTTGTTATATGAGTGATCTCCACTTACCTGCTCAAAATTTTAAACTCTCTTGTATCTAGCTTTAGGGTGACTATTTGGGATTTTAACATGTAAANTGTTAAATATTTTCAGGTTTTATTTTTCAAGTGCTCAGTATATGATACAAAATCTGGCCATGAAAATAGAAGATAAAATAAATTGATTTGTCTTCAAAAGTAATTTTGTTATATGAGTGATCTCCACTTACCTGCTCAAAATTTTAAACTCTCTTGTATCTAGCTTTAGGGTGACTATTTGGGATTTTAACATGTAAATTTTCATGGAAATCAAACTGATTAAAATTCTAGGTGCACTCATGATCATATATTAAAAATTATTACTGTATTTAAACCCTATTTTGTCTACAAAAATAAGAAAAGTAGTGCTAAATCTAAAACTCTTACAAACTTGTTTTTAGAGACAGACTGACATATTTATTCTTCTATCATTCTTAAAATGTACCAGAAAAATAGCATGCCTTTATTATGTACCTGAATAAACAGAACTCCTTTACTGAAGCCATTAAGACAGAAATACATTTTTATGAATTACCTAGCAATATTTTGAATGGCTTATTTGTTAAAAGTCAAATAATTTTTTTAAATTTTTAACAAGCATTCATATTAATCCCAAACTGCCTCATATTGCCTTTAAGCTCACTAGCATCTCAGTGACTATTATACATTACATTTAAGTTACACTTTTGCCTTTATACACACCCTATTATTATCTGAGGCTACTTTTTGGGAAAGAAAGAAAGTGTGATTTTGAGTTTGGAAAAAATGTCTCAGTTCTGAATACAATAACTGTTGCCTACACTTCCTAAAATTCTCTTCCCAGTCAAAATTCCCAGTTTTACCTGTTGTGTTTTGAAAATACACCTATACATATCAGGCATTAGTTTAGTTTTATTTTTATTATCCCCAAAGTCAATGTGTAATTTAGCGTTTGGAAATATATATGTATACAAATAGCTTATAATAGTTTCTCTAAAGCCAAAAAATTTGTTTATATTATTTGTTTTTATTTGCATAGTAGACATATTTTCTTTAAAAATAATGATGTATATTCCACTTTAATTTAAGGATTGACTTAATTTTCACTTTTTATGCAGCCTGTAATGTACTACTGCTTAAGTAGCACAGAAATGGGCAGAGTTTAAGTCCAAGAGTGTTAGTCTAAGGATCAGCATCCACTGTTCCTTGAGTCAAATGTCATGGAAAGATGTCAAGTGGATGCTTTTCTTGGTAGATTAAAAAAAACTGACCAGAGACACCCACCTGATTCCCACCCACTCTCTCCATTCTCTTCTCCTTATTTGACCCTGATGCCCTCAAGGGAATCATTAGCCAACATTCTTTAGGATTCAGAATGCATTTCCTATAACGTTAATTATAAGTGGTGGCTGCATACAGTTGAATTAATATTATGATGTTTTATATACATTCTAGAGTAAGTGGATTCTTGCCTTCTGTTCTCAAACTTAATTACCATTCCTAACATGTTTTTTTGGGGGAAAGAATATCCAGGTTTTCCAATGACTTACAAATGATTAGAATAAAACCTACTAATAAATATGGAGCACTTGTATAAAAAATACAATTTAGCTTGCTTCTTATCCCTAAAAAATTTAAATTTACATGAAAATAACTGTATTAATTTTATATGCACATTTGTTACAAAAATCATACTTTATTAACACTCAACCACAATTCTGGACTGTGGGGGTCCCAATAATTAAAGTTTAAGAGTGAGCTGTAAACTTAACACAGAAGAAACTTTACTTACAGATTTTTAATGTATTATTTTCATATCAATAGTGAAGTACTATAAGATTTTTGTTTAAAAAGATAGCCACATTAAAATTTCAGTTTTAAAACTTTTATTTTAAAATCCTGCTTATTTATATGTCCCAAAGTGAAAAAGAAATTAATATTTGATGAGGCTTACTGATCTAAAGGGTAATATGATGCTTGGGTTGTACTTGAAATTAAAATTTGCTTATCATGCTTGAGAAATCTGCTTCATTCATTCAAGCCACTGTAAAGGAAGCAAAATTCCCTTAACCATAATATTAAAGCATTCCATTATGCTTTCTATTAAGTTGCTTTGTCCTTTGAATCCTTGCTTATTTTAATTTACACTTTTAAAAGAATTTAAATTACTTAACTTGCATTAACCATCAGAAGCTTCAATATAGCTGAGCATGATATTGATTTGGGGGCATGTTTTTTACAAATGATGGTCACTATCAAAGGAAAGAATATCCAGGCAATCGATATTGAAGAAAGAATAAAAGAGTTTCGATAAATAAGAGAGATGATACATATTATTTCTCAAATATTTGAACTATCCAATAAGCTATTAACCAGTGAGGATAAGCCATAATCCCTGGAAATAATGGCCACAGAAAGGTTTTGGCAGTCTCTTGTAATACTGAATGTACTGTTGGATCACTACCGCAGAGAGACAGTTGTCCTGCTGCATTTTAGTGATCTGACGCATTGCCAGAGAAATAAACAACTCTCCTAGCCAACAGAAATGCTGCCTACAGATTCTTGTTTTAGACTTTTGATAAAAAAAAAAACAAAAAAGTGTGTTAAGTATGATGTTCTTACACTATTTTTAACAAAAAAGAAAAGCAAAATGAGAAAGTAAAATATAAACTCTTAATGATATAAAAGAAAAAACAAAGTCTATTTCATTATTAAAATTTATATACACCTATTTGTATATAAGACACATGCATTTTTAGTTTTGAAAAAATCTTCCTATTTTATCTCAAAAATCAATGAAATTATATATTATAAGCAAACAATGCTATCTTTGAACAATCTTTTCAGAAGAGTTAATAATCTTACTTGAATATGCGCAATATTTTAAGGGTATTTTGGAAACCACAGCACTAACAGAAGGTCAAAACCACTATGCACCACTATAAATTTTTAGTTTTATCTAGAGCAACACCCTCATGCATTTCCTGCTCACACATTTCAAGGCTTAACAAACGCAGAAGAAATGGAGTCTTCTCCAAGACAAAACAAAATTCATAGGGGTCAGGATTTCCTTTTATCATATAAAAAATTCAACTGCTATGTGTATCTGAGTAGGTAACACAACTCCAAAAATAACGCTTATCACAAAACACATTTCATAGACACCAACTTTGGCAGAAACCACTCCATGAAACTATTCATAAAACCGGTATATCAAAAAATCATATTACAAAATCTATGGTGTTTTCAACTCTGCAAAGGATACACCAGGACACAACAGACCTGAAGCTCCTCTCTACCATTAATTTCTTCCATATATTCCTAGCAAGGCAATGAGGAATGCCAAATTTTCTACTTAATTTCTGAAGAACCTCACTCCCTTTAAAGACTAGATTTCTCAAATTTTAAACAATTAAAACATAAAAGTCACTCAAGGAAAGAAATCCAAAAGCTTCACTTCAAAAATATAATACCTTTAACTAATAGATTCTTGTAAAGTCACATAAAAACACACAAATATAGCTATATATATAGCATCTACTGTAACACAGCCAGTCTTGAAGCTATGACTTCAAATTTGATAACACTAACTCACACCAAATTCTAGACCAATTTAACTGCTTTCAGAACCATTATAGTCCACTTTGACCAAAAAATTGGGGACAGATTACAATAGGTCACTTAAAACATCAAACCAAACGTCCATGTAATCTCACTGTGAAACTCACATCCAGTGCTCAGAATATGAAAACATGCTCACACCTACCTTGGCCTTGTCCATGCCCCTGCTGACTCCAAAGTATCACAGTCATTATCAGCAGTCCTGGAGTCCATGTCCACATTCTTCTAGTGATACTTCCCTGTCTTCTGGCCATTGCATTTTAAATTCTGCATATTGAGAGGCATGGGTAATGAAAAGTATAGTAAATTACAACCTTAGAGAAATGTATTATCATTCTCATTCCATATCTAATATGCACTGTGTATTTACAAATCATCCTGCTTACAAGGAGATAATTTGAAAATCATGCTCTATTTTGTGTTCTCACTATGATGATTAATATGAAAGCTCATTCATCTTGAACCTCATATTCTCAATACTCACTTGAAAATTTTTCACTATCAGTTTGCAAAAATAGGCCATTAAACCTATGAATGCTTAAAAAGGACTTCCAAAATAACTACTTGAGTACAGTCAAGCAAAAAATTGTACTTGGACACTATTTATAAGTAGTTATTGAAGTAAATTGATGTATTATGACACTGTACCATTTCTATGAACATATACAAATATGATTTTTCAATGTATTTATGTAAACATTGCATATATCATATCTCTGAAGTTCAGAGTAAAATGATATCTAGTTGGTCAGCAACTTTAATGGCATAAAGAGATTCATCATGTACACAAAACTAATACTGTGAGCTTAAAATTGAGAGTAAAATTAATTGTAGAAACCACAAAACATTTTCAATTCCAGCTCTGGGTATACACACCATTGAAAGTCATACCCACATACAGATAATGATAAAACACAGTGAAGTGTTCATTTTGATACTGTTTTTAGTACTAAAAATGCTTAAATACCCAAAGGAATATTATATGTTCATATAGCTGAATCGTATACAGTAGCTAAGATGAATAGACTTGTCACTTTTACCAAAATGGATCAATGGTCACTTTTACCAAAATGGATCAATGGTCACTTTTACCAAAATGGATCAATGTCAAAAATAAAAACTTAAACAAAAATAGCAAGCTGCAAATTAATTGGTTCGATAAAGCATCTTTTATATATAAACATATATAAATATGATTTTAATGATAATACATGTTTATCTATGTTAAATAATAAGCCATAATAATAATAAACACCTTCTAAGATTAAGAAATTTCCATTTTAAAAGTTATACTTTCCTTAAGGAGAATCTGAAGAGAAGACTACCATTAAGTTCCAGTGTTTCCAGTTAACAGGATATGAAGTTAAGTGAACTTAATGATTTCCTGAATAAACTCTATATTCAAAATGCTACATAAGCATAATTCCAGTAAACTTGGAAGGGCATCTAGGCATCCAGAGCTTTTTCTTCTTCCTTTTTTATACATTAAGAAAAAGGATTTAATTCCTCACTTTGCATTACTTTATTTTAGACTCATAGTGTCAAAGCTAAAGGGAAATTTAGAACCAACTAATCCATCCTCCTCATTTGAAATAAACAAACAGGCCAAGAAGGTTGGGATGACATTTCCAAATCCACATGCAACAGGAGAATGATGATGGTGATAATAGTCTTGGTACTAAGAAATATTTTTTGAAAGTGTATCTTCCCAGATTTTATTACTACTTTAATTGCCTTGCAACCCAAGTCCCTTTTCATTCTCAAACAAATTCTATGAAATAAGAAATATTTCAATTGCCATTTCATATCTGAAAAAACAAAAGTTTAGAGAAAAGCTACACAATTCCTAAGTCATGCAATTGGTAGCTATTATGACTTGAGCCACAGCAGGATGACTTCAGAACCTATGCTCTGGACTAGTGGTCACTATGCAGGAATTTACTTCTAGATCTCCCAACTAGGGTCCAGTAATCATTCCAAAGAGGATGCTGAGAAGAAGAAAAGGAAATAACTTACAAATATAATCTTGTGTACTTATCCCAAATATATACCTTCAAATTGGAAATCATTAAAACACAAGACAATTGAGCTATCACAGTTAAAAAAGCACCAGTCCTTTCCAGAGCAATGTGGGGTGCCCAGAGCAAATCTCAACACCTTCCCAATACACCTTAGCATTACTGAAGAATGAGATGAATAATATTACAAAAGAGCAGTGGTGATGCCTGATTATTTGTTTAGGAGGCAAGGATCAGAGTAAGAGGTTATCATCTAAAACCAATCTTAATGGTATCCATCTAGAATGCATCTCTCTCTCTATATATATATATATATATGTGTATATATATATGTGTATGTATATATATGTGTATGTATATATATGTGTACATATAAACATACACATGTGCACATGTGCAAACACACAGAGACTTATAACCACCATTTGATAGTTCTTTGTCTGCTTCTAATCATCATGTAATAATTTTTATCTGATGGCAATAATGTCAAAATTCACATTTAAATCATCATTTATTCTACACAGAATTGAAGCAGCATGTGAAAAATCTTAAAATACTCCTCAAGAAGGATTGGCATATAAAACACCAGTTCCATTATATATTTTAGTAAAATTTTCAAGAACAGATGGCTTTCAAATTGTTATTATAATCAAAAGAAAATGTAACCTTCCTCTCCAATTTGATGTTTATAGAAAACTAATATATCATAAATGCCAAGTTTCTATGATATTATCTATATGCTGTTCTTGTTCTATAAATATGAAAAATCATAACTTTCTAAGAAACTTTTATATTAATTAACAACTGTGTTCATATAGGATCAAACTAATCCATCTTTTTAATTCTTTTCAGAGAAAAACAAAGTAACTAGAAAAGAGGTATGCTTGATAAGCCAGAAAATAAAGCTATCATATACCATAAAATATGCAATGGACTTCTCAATCCTTTTTGGAACATCTTTTCATGCCTGTGAATAATAACTAACTGAAAAGTAGTTACTTTATTTTATGAACCTTCCCTTGTAACTGTTACTCTTTAAGGATGTGAATAAGTCCTAAAACATGAATAGTTGGATCCATTATGCTTTTATGGCCATTAAATAAATGTGGGATTCAGTGAGCAGAGAAGCAGAGCTTAGGACTTCAGGTCGGTAATGACTATATAAATACACCTTCACTCAGTAGTTTTCATCTTGCTCTATTAATGCTGAAAGTCACCAAAGAAAAGAAAATAGATCTTAAGAATGTATAGTGTATTATATCTTGTCGTACGTAATAGCAAAATTACTGGGTTGGCAACAAAGTTCCTTAAGATGTTATGGGAAAACCCACATGAACTTTGTGGCTAACCCAACAGTTTGGATATGCAAGGATTTGTAGCAAACAGCATTAGGAGCTAGTGTCATGGAGTGCTGTAGCTCCATAGACTCTCTCCAGATTGTGCTGCGTCTGACAGAGCACACACTCATATCACCTGGTCTGAGGCTTGCTTTCAGATCTAGAGGTTCTCACTAGGAAGGAGGGACTCGAGTTAATAAGACTGTTCAGCTACGGAACACCTAACATCAATGCAAGTGGAAGCGTCTAGGCGTCAGGGCCACTTTTGTTACCACTTTGGTTTATATCTGCATCTAACTACTAAATATTAATTTCTGTATGCCTTCTCCAGTCATTCTACTTCTCGTGTGGATCTTTTTGATGTTTTCTTCATCCCTGGCCAGCAGACCCAACCAACCAGTCTTGATTTTATGCATATGTGTCTATTTTTGTAACCAGACAGGTAATGCCTTCAGATTTGCTGCTTCATTATGACATATAGAGTGGTTCTAGTCAGCTTCTAGAATAATTTTTCACCAACTCCCTTAAAGAAAATTCTTTATTGGAAAAAGAGGTTTCCTGGCAATAGATTTCTTTATTGAAGCGACTCAATGAGCGCTGAGATGAGCTGATGAGCCTACAGGCTGATGTTTTTTTTGCTCAGCTTCTCTATTAGAAAGCAACCTCTCTGGTCACCCTTTTAAAACTAAAGAATCAAAGAATCAAGTGGAATCAGAAAGTGACCATGGCTCACAGGTCATCAGTTCTTCTCAGCATAGTATTGGAACACAATCTAAGCCAGAAAAACAGCAGAGCCCATTACAGATCTCGAGTTCCAGTTATTAACATTGATTTTTTTCAATGGGAAATTTTCATTAGAAGCCAGCACATGACTTACATTCAGTAATAACTTAGAGTGAGACATATATTGAAGCCTCACTTTGACACTGTCCTTGGTTTAAATGCCATAGAGTCATTTTTAAAAGAAGTCTTTTTGACCTTAGTAAATTCTCAAAGGTAGAAGTTATCTCTGTCCAAACTATACCTGGCATTCAATAGTGGCAAAGTCTTCTATAAGCCCAATAAGTAGTACAATTTATATAAATTATATATATACAGATACAGTCCATGGATAAATTTATATTTATTTTATTTTTCAATAGGATAAAACTTAGGAGTTGAAAATATTACTCTAGATCACCATGCTTTAGAATAAAGAGTCCAGACAACGAAAAGACACTGGGTTGCTGACCCCCTTTAATATCTTTGACAAATTAATTAATCTCTTTAAGATTTAGTCTCCAAGATATGTGACAAATAAAAATATCTCTAAAATTCCTGTAATTTATAAAGTATGAAAATTCTATTATGTCATTGGTTCAAGGGAAACAGATAAATCACTTGCCAATTGGCATTATGAAAAATCAGACATATCAAAATGCAACAAAGAATGCACTTATGTCCCATGGTTCATGAGCACTGTGCTCAAGAATAATCCAGGATGCTGCTAAAATGTACATGCCTAAGGCATCACTGTGGACATACTGAATCAGAACCCAAGAGGTAAGCCCTTGGAATATGCACTGTAATAAATCCTCTAAGTGGTTATTTTTAATAATAAAATTGGGAATAACTAGCCTATACCATGATACTTTAAAATTAGGGATAAATAGATTTCATAGAAATCTACAGGGTTTTTTTCTAACCTTAAAGACTGACTTTCCAGTGAAATATTGAATATGAGGAAAAGACCTAAGACAAATGTAGCAGTAATCACCCTAACATTTGAGAGTCCAAGAGAGTCACGTGTGTGCACTCTCAGTCTCTCAGTTGTATCTGGCTCTGTGCAATCCCATGGATTGTATACTGCCAGGTTCCTCTGTCCATGGGATTTCCCAGGCAAGAACACTGGAGTGGGTTGCCATTTCCTTCC